GTTTCTTTGTTTTAAAGCTCTGTGCACACGTCATGTTTGACAGGATGGCCCTGATTCAGCAAAGCATTTAATTTTAAGCATGTCACTTCACGTGCTAAAAGTTACGTGAATGCTCAAGTGAACTGATGAACAGGGATGGAGTTAAGCACTTAGATAAACACGCACTGAAGTGTGTTGCTGAATTAGGACCTGTGTAATTAATAATAATTAAGGCTAAGATTATGTAACAGAGGTCGCAGAAGTCACGTAATCCATGACTTCCGGCGACCTCCGTGACATTGGGGGCCCTGGCAGCTGACTGGCTGCTGCCGGCAGCAGGGACCTGGCAGCAGCCCAGCCTCCACGGGCGGCGGGGGACCCTCTCGCAGCTGCCCAGCAGCTGCGGGTGGCGGGATCCCCGCAACTGACCGGCCACCACCACTGGCAGCGACCCCTGAGCTGCCCAGCAGCTCTGCCGCTGCGAGCAGCCCCCGCCCCTCCCCGGCAGTGGCAGAGGGACCCCGGAGCTCCCCAGCTGCCATCGCTGGTAGGGGCACCCCCTGCAGTTGCTCAGCTGCCACGAGCAGCCCCCCCAGCTCCCAGTAGCGATGGCAGAGGGAGCCTGGAGCTGGGGCCCCCTGCAGCTCCCTAGCCTCCGCTTCTGGTAGGCCTCCGCCCCAGCAACTGGGCAATGGGGTCCCTGCAGCTCCCAGCTGCTGCAGGGGGGTGGGTGCTGGACCCACCTCCCTCCGCATTTTGTCAGGGATGTTTTTAGTAAAAAAGTCAGGGGTGGGTCACGGCTTCTGTGATGTTTTGTTTATTGTCCTTGACCTGTCCATGACTTTTACTAAAAATACCCATGACAAAATCCTAGCCTTAATAATAATTTTTCATCTACAAATAGCTTAGCAAAAGGATTCGCCGTTATGAGAGCTGGGGAAGAGGGTTAGACACTGATCCATTATCCAAGCCTGCTGGGGCACATTAATATCAGTGACAACTTCAAAGTATCGCTAATAGAAAAAACAAACTTCAGCGCACACTCCATAAATATGCCAGTGGCACTCCTAATAGAACACAGGGAGGCAGCTTCGGCTCTGTTCCGCCTGTGTCATTCTGGAGTAACTTCAGTGAAGCGAATCTACATGGAATTACTCTGCACGGAATTTGCACCAGGATAAGAATGGAATCTGGTCCTATATGTGCTAGTTTTCTTGAATCTGGTCTTGAAACAGGACCATTTAATATTGATCACAAGAATAATTTATTATATTTTTAAAATAGCTATAACTACAAAATAACGGGTCATGACATTTTCCCTTCAACATTTGAAAATGTAAGACCACTCATCCACTAACAGCCTATATTGTTGAGTAACCTGACCCAAGGTAATGAGAAAAGAAGCCAAGTGCTGCCAGAGTACAACTCTGGCACAGAGACTTGGAAACAAATTAATGTCAAGAGGCAGAAAGCTTTAAAGTCTTGGTTTTGCTTGCAGCCATACCCACCTCTGCTATAATAAACTATGCAGGATCAGGTTGGGTTAATACTTTGGGAGGGATGTAAAGTGGATGATGTGGACCAATGTTATAGCCCGCTTGTCTATTGTAATACACTGCTAGGCCTTCTGGAAATGGGAAAGGTGGTTTCCAAAAGAAGGAAGCTGGGCAAAAGGTTGCAGCTTGCGAACTAGAGGTGAGGGAGGAGTTGAGCCCTGAACCAACCTGTCAAAATTATTGTTTCAATTATGACTGGGTATTCACTGAAGGAGGATGAGCAGCTCCTTTCCTCTTGAGTTTCTGTCTCTTTCTAGTCGGCTCAGTGGTTCTGTGAAATCCAGAGAACTAGGCTGGGTGCGATTTCTTGGTAGTTTGAGACCTACTAAATCTCCTCTTGTTTGTAGTAGAGTATATACCCAGAAACATCACTCTGGCCCTGGAGCCCTTCAGCGTGTGCAGGTATTCGTCTGTAGTCCCTGAGAAGAGCTTCTGACCATCAAACGGGAGGTCCTCAACAGTATTCCGAACCTCTCTTGGGAGCTCCGACAGTTGGAGCCATGACGCCCTGCATATGACAACCGCTGTGGAGATGGATTCAGCGGCAGTGTCTGCAGCACCCAAGGACTTGGAGAAAGGTTCTGGCTAATAACTGACCCTCCTTAATGATGGCCTGGAAGTGCTCTCTATGCGCCTGTGGAGGATGTTCAATAAAGGTTGCAAACTTCTTGTAATTTGTGAAGTCATACTTGGCCTTGATTGCCTGATAGTTTGAGATCCAAAATTGGAAGGTCACAGATGAGTATGCCTTTCAGCCAAAAAGGTCTAACCTCTTCTGGTCCTTATCATAAGGGATAGACCAGGAGTAATGCTGTTTACCCCACTTTTTTACAGCATCCACCACTAGGGAATTAGGTGGGGGAGTGGGAAAACAAAAATTCTGAGTCTCTGAGGGGAACATAATATTTCTTATCTGCCCATTTACAAGTTGGCAGAATGCTGGCAGAAGTTTGCCACACAATCTTTGCTGGATACAGGAGTGCTTCATTAATGGGTAGCACAACCCCAGTGGGTATCACCCACTGCAGAATGTCCAGGAGTTTGTGTTGTGAGACTTTAACCTCCTCAAGAGATATCTGGAGGGTGTCTGCCACCCTCTTCACAAGGTCCTGGAATTGGCTGGAACTTGGCAAATTGCTGCTGATATGCTGTCCAAGGATCCCAGTATGGCCATTCGTGGGGTCCATATGGGAGAGGGGGATGGCACGCAGGACTGATCCCACTATCCCTGACATGGATGAGGATCCTTGTCAAACTATGGGTTCCTGTAATGATGTGGAAGGGAATCCTGCACTGATATGGAGAAGACTGATTGAATATCTCTTTCATCCGCCTCAAAGTCCTCCAGTGGGGGTGGGGGAGAGCCTCAGTAGAAAAGAGTGGAGAATCCTCTGTTACCATGACGCAATTGTAATCTGGAGACCAGGGTCTTTTGACTGAGAGTCATTCAGTACCCATAAGCAGTGAGGTCTCTTGCTCGTATCACAGTGACTAGAGTAGTGGAATTCCTGTGGTACCAAATGGGTCAGTACTGACACAGCATTTGAGATGGACAGTACCATAAATCTGGAGTGCCCCGGTGCTGGGGCCAAAGGTGTCTGATGCTTCAATTTTGCCAGTGCCGACGGAGCCAAGTGCAAAGGCACTGTTGGTAAGTCTGATGTAGATGGTGCCGTTCTAAAGGAGTGTATGTCCTGGGCCTCCCTGTCCTTCGCAGATGGTTCCAGGGGCCTGCTGGAGCCATCCTTCGCTGAAGTGCTCTGGGATCTCCCAGACCTGCCAGTACTGTAGGAAGAGTTCTTTGTCTCCTCGGTACTGAGTCAAGAGGTTGAGGCCTCTGACATCATATACTGAGCGGGAGCCAGCTCCTTGCGACAGGAGACCGAGCTTCTCTTCTTCTGAGCCCTCTTTTAGGCCTCTAAAGTTTTCCCTGTCTTAGGGGAAACCTCGGCCAAACTCAAAGGGATACACTATCTGCTTGAAGACAGGTACGGGAGTCTTCTGACCTGGCTCAGAAGCGGGTTAAAGGGAGAGCTCCATCACCAGAAACTTCAATTTGGTCTCCTGATTCTTCCATGCTCTAGATTTGAGAGCCAGGTAAAAGAGTTACACTTTGGGGAGATACGGGACTCTTCCAAGCAATGGATATGCTTAGAGTGGCCATTGCTGACTGGGATAGCCTCCCAATAAGAGAGGCAGCGTTTGAAACCTGGCCAGCCAGGCATGCCCAGCCAGGCCAAATAAGCTTCCCAGAAAAAGAGGAGGAAAAAGGGAGAGGAAAAAACCCCCCAAATCTCTCATTACTAATTCTATACTAACAACAACTAGCACTAAGAAGAAACACTAATCTAACTACAGAACAACTGCAAAACATGCTGAGGCATGCACAAGGTGGACATGCTAGATCTCCATCTCAGGCAGAGGCAGTAGAGAAGGAACTGTGGGGCAGTTTGCCCATGCAGCCCTATATCCTTGGAGATCGGCATAGGTTGCATAGAGTGCATGCGCAGGCTGAACGGACTCTGCTAACAGAAGATCTCTGATCAAGGACTTCACATGCACACCTGAAGTGTAGCACCCATTGAGACACTATTCAAAGAAGATCTAAACCTTCTAAAGAGACTCCTGAAAACTCTGAAGAGACAAGTGAATTAAACTGTTTTACGTGGGGACTTGCCTTGTGCAGCAAGGGACTATGGGACATCTCCTCCCCAAGAGAAAAATCGGGGTGTACGAGAAGGGAAGAGACAATGAGGTGGAAATGAGGGTGCCTCTTGCCAGTCTTTTTCTTATTGGATGCAGAGCTTGCCAAACCAATTTGCAGCAGCTCCATCAGCGAAGCACAGGGCCCTCAGACCACCATCAAATCTGGTCAGAGGGGAGTCATCAGTGATGCGTGATGTTGTCTATCTTTGGGACAGCCACACGGAAGAGCCTTTCATTGGCCCTAGATGTGAAGGCTGGCTGCACACTGACCCTGACCCGTTCAAAATCAGTCCAGAAGGACCCCATAGCAGCGTGGCAAATCAAAGCTGGGTACACACATGGTTGGGTCAGTTATAAGAGACTGGTTTCTGATGTCAGCTGCACACCATTCTTTATGTCAAATCAACGATGCAGAGAAATCTGGGCAGGGCATGTGGGAAGACAACGGGGGCCTCTATGACAAGTAAGCTTTTCGGGTGGTCGAAGACACCATGTATAGTGGTAGGCTCAGGTTTGCCCTGATCTTCTCAAACATTCTAGTTGTAGCCTCCTCATGACACAAGCGATGTTGCTTAACACAGGGAGCCCTGGTACGGGTCGAATTGTCCCAGTCACGATGCGCATGGTTGAGAGTAGTTGTGTGTCAACCAACGTCATCTGAGACGAATGGAGCCAGACTGGAGCAACATATTCTGCTGCAGAGTAACGGAGGGCTAAACTGGATGATCAGAGAGTTTGAGCGTTTGCTCCCCATGAAGTGCTGGCCAATTTACTTAGGAGGTTGTCATGCGACCTCACCTTATCTACAGTTTTCCTCACGCGGTTAAGATGTGAGAGATCTGTTCTAGGATTACTCTGAGACAGACTGGGTGGGATTTGTATTTCGATCAATGTCCATTGAGAAGGATATCCAGTTCCTGGGCTGCTCTGGCATTGTAAAAATGGAACACATTCAAAACAGTCTTGGTCACATTTACTGGTTGTAAATGCTACCAAATGCAGTATTCGGCCATCTTAGTCAAGTCAGCATTTAGGGTGCATTCAAGTTCTAGGAATGACTGTGCTTGGACGCCTAAGCAAATGTCATCTGTGTACATGGACTTGTGGGGCTGGGTAAGCAAGAGGTCATTTGTGTACAGACTGAAAAGCAACTGGGGCAAAATCAGTACTTGGTCCTGCTAGTGAAGGCAGGGGGCTGGACTTGATGACCTTTCAAGGTCCCTTCCAGTTCTAGGAAATAGGATAGGATATCTCAAACAGTGCCAGCACAGAGCCTTGGGTAAACCGCTGGTTTGTCTTTTCCACATGCTAACTCTGTCTTCCATGTGCACTTGGAAACATCTGTTGTGGAGAAGGTCAATGATGTTGACTACCTATCCTGGGAGTGCTCTTGACAATTTGACTGAGAGCCCCAAGCACCAGACCACGTCATATGCTGCTGTCAGGTCCAGAAATATGGCTCCTGTCTTCTGTTTTTTCTGAAAACATTTTCGAAGAATGTTTTCAAAACTAGCACTTGATTGAAGGTGCTCTGACCTGTCCAAAAGCCTGCTTGCTTAATGCTGAGCACTGATTCCACTTCTGGGAGATACGCTGGAGAATGAGATTCTCCGGCACCTTGAATGGCACAGACAACGGGGATATCAGTTGACAACTTGCAACATTATGTGGCTCTTTTCCTAGTTTCAGGAGAGCAATGACTTTTGACATTCACAATGTCTTTGGAAGTCACTCTTTGCGAAGAACTGCACCAGTCACTGATAAACACAAGTCCCGAGGTGCTTCAAAAACTCTGGCAATATGTTGTCATAGCCAGGAGCAGTGCCACAACTACTATCACTTACGATTTGGTCTAACTGTGGCTGTGAATGACTATATGTGTTGCTGAGTCTCTGACAACTGGCAGCTTGGTTTGGTATGCCAGGTGGTTGGCTTAGGGATGGTGGTTGCTAAGCTTTGTTTAGACAGCAAATCAAATTCCAGCATTTCCAGCTGAAGTGAATGATGTCTAGATTTCGAGTAGTCTTCCCATTGTGCCTGTCTAGCAGCCTCCAGTGACTCGATTACGTGATCAGCAATATCTGGATCAGCAGAGGATCCCTACTGCCCAAGCAGTTTAGTACCATTCAGCATGAAGGCACAGCATGTAGACTGGACGGTGGTTGTGCAATATGGATGCACAGGCAGCTTTGAAGATGGCTTCTCAGAATCGCCTGAAAGCTTCGTAGACCAGATGATGTGTGATGGTATGGAGATGACACTTTTCTAGAGCATCTGTGTACTTCTTCCTGTCTGCCTTCCTGAAGTTCTATCTCAGTTTGTCAAAGGATCTAATGATTGGGAGTTGTAGGCCAATGCAGATAATGGAAGGTCTTTCAAGACGAGACATGATGTAGGTTGGGAGTGACCATCCATGGATGACATCCAGCATAAATCGGGAGAGCATTTTCTTGCCAGTAATTATTTGCTATATCGCTTGCTTACATCCTGCTATGGCATCTCAAATTAATTACAGATTACAGTTCCCTGTAGAATGTGGCAAGTGGAGTTCGGCTCCATCACTGATGGGGCACCAAGGTCTTTTTCATGAACAGTATTCAGTATCAGTGCAGATGTTATATGTTAAACAGAAGAGTTAACAGCTAATAGGTGATTATGACACAAAATCTCATTGTGAAGATCTAAGGCTTGTGGAAAAGCTAACACAAACAGGAGTAAAAGAGACAAATGTCCTGCTGCTTTGACAGAGAACAAACTCTTGATGTAGCCCCGAGAAGGGCATGGGCACCTATCTGAACTCTGGAGGTATTCGCTGCCAGTGTGCTTCAGAAGTAGCAGTGTGTGTTAAATAAATCTCTGTGTATGAATGTGTAACCCTTACCCACCC